AAAGGCCTTCTCTCCTTTGAACATTAGAGACGTGGCACCGGATAAAAGTTTAGTTAAATTCCCTTTGAATCATATAACGATTTACTACGGAGGTGAGTCTGAATCATACTCAGGGCAACACGGATGCAAGGTTGCAGAGACTCATTTAAAAAGCTATTTATAGGCCAGATAAAAGGGCACAGTGCTTCCTACGAACAATGGTCCTTGACATAAGCCTTGTAAGGTCTTGGGGCACGAATTAGAACCTGATGGCAGCAGCCAACACTGTTTATTCTTATGCAACTTTATTAGCTCACTGCTTCAGGGGTCTGGGGTTAATTTGGGTTGTACCTGGGATGCTCTGTGTGTATGACTTTGTGAAAGGAAGGCATGCTATGTTGAGCAATTGCATGCTGGATGTTGTGTGCAGGAGGGTTTTGGGGAACTTGGGGAGGGGGGGTCATTGAGATGTTATGAGCTGACAAACAACTTACTATCTAATACACTTGTGAATAAGGAGATTAAAATAAAACAAGGAAAACATAGATTAACAATCACTCATACGAAAAGAGCCAGTTACCGAATGAGTTGCCTTGAAAATAAAAATGAATTCTGATTACCCTACCTGTCCTCTCCACTGACATGTCCAACAAGGATGAGCTGATAATGCTTGTGGTCGAGAGCGATCAGTTTCAACTTGACAGACAGTGATTAGAACTAAATGGTAGAGAGCAAGGTTAAAAAACACAGAGTGAAGACAGAGGGCGTTGTCTGCCCTGCAACAAAAAGGTAAAGCTTTATGTGTATAGAACTTTTTTAACAGTTACAAATTGCTTCATATTCAATTCAAGCTTTCTCTAGGAAGACATATAAACACAAGAACCTTACTGTAGAACATCTGTTATGTGTGGAAACTGTAAAAAGAGATAAGGGTAGAGGAGCTGATTGCACAAGAACTACAGGACAGGTTACTACAAAACTTGCTGGAAGGATGTGGTATGGTTGAGCAAAGAACCCATTTAATTTTGGTGCAGATCCATGAATGCTTGTTTTTCACTTAACATTGTTAGAGTACCATCGTAATTGTAGGTTTTTTTCATTGGAGAATCAATCTATTGCCACCTCTAATCCTCACTAATTGACAAGTTGTATCGCGTTTGTTGAATCTATGATACATCCAAATTTTAAAAACAACAAATTGCTTAAAGAATGAGATACAGGTACGGAAACTGTGCAGGATTCAGCGTGTGTCATATATCATCAAAGTGTGTCAGTGCATTGTTTCTGTTTTAACACTTGATTGACTCCCTTGACGAGATAAAGCTCAAGAACAATAACAACAACAAAAAACACCCTGAAGCTCTAATGCTGGTAAACTGGCTTGTGTAGTTTTACCTGGAGAAATGCATGGCTGCCTGACCTGCAACACCGAAATAAAAGCTGGTTGTGTGTTTCATCTCGTCTGTGTGTCCAGTTTCCTCTATCCAGTGGCCAATCGGGTGGCAGTACACTCCCTCTACCACGTTCCTCTCATCATATGAACAGCACCTGTCATGGCTGGGGCCACTACCTGGTGACAAAGCAGACAAAGTTAGTGACCAAATGTGGATGTTAACATGTTTCTAGTTTAAAATATGTCCCCTAGGGACAAAATATGAAGTGTTGTTTTTAATTAAACAGGAAAAACATATTTGTAGGCATCAGGAACAGACGGACAAATTGTTTCTTCGATCAAAAGATCGTTGCGAAATATTGTACTGGTACCTCCTCCACATTCATCTAGCATCTAAAATCAATAACAATAATGATCCATTACTATAATATAAATAACACCACGGTCTAAACGTGGTCATTTAGTCCTTACTAACTACCCATACTGCACAAGTAGGTCATAGTACAAGTCAATATTATATTTAGTTTATTGCGCCAACATATTACACGTCCTTAAAAAATGTCT